TCATGTACTAAATTCAGAAATCAGAATACTAATCATAACTATTTTCTATACCATGTTTACTTTTCTGTTTATAATTTATTATCCTGAACTTGACTAACTATACGTTCTGACCTATACAGTTAACCTTGTGTCGACACAGGCTTGTATTGCCTCGCCTATCTGCAAGTTTCCTCTATCCGCTGCCGTGAGTTCGAAGAGAAGTCAGCAGTCAAATTCTATTTTATTCTATTTCAAGCACATACTTGACCATCATCACACCGTAAAATAAAATTTGACAATTATGCACAAACAAGCCGAAATTGACTATGAATAGGACATTCTGTAAATAATCAATTGGCAATAAATAAAGAATAATAAAACGGTATAATAAGTTAAATGAAAACCAATGATAAAAAGAATATAGAAACATATTAATTCAATTGTTTATTAATTATTCAGTAGGGATATATATAATATTTTCATAGTTCAAAGCATTAGTCAATTGAAGCTAGACCACCATGGAAAACCTGGAAGCACTGGACGGCCAACTCGTCCTATTATGGGACTCCTCAGCAGTGCGCATCCACGATCCCACACTGCGAGATTCGAACCCAGGACCTACCAGTCTCGCGCCAGAGCACTTAACCGATAGACCACTGAGCCGGCATCCGATGGTGTTAATGTCTAACTTCAACCGATCCACGAAGTTGAGCAACCGTTCATCAATTGTCTTCAGTGAGTTCCTATCTCACAACAATACCAATAAGAGACTGTCCAGTTGCAGTCCTAAGCATCAATGGGAAGATTCAAACAAACAATACTAAATGAGTATATTAACTATTTTTCTGTTTACAACTCACACAAAACGAATCAAATATCTCATGTTGAATGTATAACTTATGGAATTATCGGTCGAGTTTTTTTTCTTTTTGAAAACAGTTTTCTTCTTTAAATGTATTTTGCAATTACTTGTGCATATTCGCTGTAGTCTTTCAAGTGATATACACTGCTAATTGAAATAATTCATCTTGTCGACTACCATATTACATCTTAACACAATACACCCTATATCAAGTCACTTCGATTAGTAGTGGCCCCATTGCAACTTGATCGATAGAATTGAATTAGGACTAACTAGGACTTGGTATATATGACAGTGGTCATCCCACTTCAGTGATCAATCAATTAGTTCGCATTAAATTCGTTTTCCTTATCTAACCAAGACTGAAAGTCTTTATACAAACTGATCAAGAATACTGAGTTAATCGACAAAAATCCTAATTTATCTAAGTTTTACACTACTTATGCTGTGGGATTCGAACCCAAGTTACGCAGTTTTACAGTCGAATATGTTATCACTGAGTTATTCGAGCCGCGAATATTATCTTGTAGGACTCAGGTGTTTACACTCATCGGTCAACTAGTTCCTTCAAGATTACAAGTACATTCTGCTTATGATTGATAACCAACAAAAAACCGAGGTTTAAAATTTCTTGTCGACTACCTCCAACTGCCTGACAACTGAACTTAATCGCGTCACTCAGATGAGTGACCAATATAGCAACTCAATCTACTGAATTCGGTCATCAGTTAAGGACCAGAAAGCATTTGAAATGGTTACTACCAAATTGGTATGAAGAAAAAACAAATCAATGGATGAAACATTTTCCATCTTACCAACCAACCATTAATTTTATACAACATTTTCAATCAGCATAAATCTTTGGTAATCAGCTTATTTAAATTATCATAGTTACATTCATGAATCGATCTAAGCTAGACTAACACTGAAAACCTGAAGGCACTGAACGGCCATTTCGTCCTAATATGGGACTCCTCAGCAGTGCGCATCCACGATCCCGCATGTGGGACACAAACGCAGGACCTTCAGTCGCGAACTCGAACTCTAAACCACTGAGATACCATCTCCACAGATCACCATTCTGATTTTAACAACTTGATTTATTAATTATCAGAGGGGGTTTTGTGGAGATTTAGTATTTTTCATAGTTTTAAAGCATGAGTCAATTGAAGCTAGACCACCATGGAAAACCTGGAAACACTGGACGGCCGTTTCGTCCTATTATGGGACCCATAATAGGACGAAACGGCCGTCCAGTGTTTCCAGGTTTTCCATGGTGGTCTAACTTGATTTATACAAACTCTAGTTTCCTGTCTCATATACATTGGACATCAAGAAAACTAATGGTTTATCTATTACTATGCATGAAAGAAGTTGAAATTTCAAATCTTTAATCCATTGGTGCAATAAAATAACTATCAAAGATTAGAATTGGATTGTTGCTTCACTCAGTTGATAATTAAATACTTCATAAATCGAAGTTGAAAAAACTTACTTACTTACGCCTGTTACCCCCAATAGAGCATAGGCCGCCGACCAGCATTCTCCAACACACTTCCTTTCTAGTTCTGTCCAACTTTTATTCATTCTCCTCGTGTCTGTCTCCATTTCTCGACGTAGTGTGTTCTTTGGTCTTCCTCTTCTCCTTTGACCTTCAGGATTCCATGTGAGGGCTTGTCTTGCGACGCAATTGGGTGATTTCCTCCATCTGTGTCCTATCCACTTTCAGCGCTTCTACCTGATTTCTTCCTCCACTGAAATCTGGTTTGTTCTCTCCTACAGCAGGTTGTTGCTGATAGTGTCTGGTCAACGGATCCAAAGTAGTTTGCGTAGATAACTGTTAATAAACACCTGTATCTTCTGGATGACGGCTTTCGTAGTTCTTCAAGTTTCCACCCCATACAGTAGAACTGTATTGAAAATTCTGATCTTGGTATCGGTTGACAATTGTTTTGAGTTCCATATGTTTTTCAGTTGTAAATATGCTGCTCTTGCTTTGCCGATCCGCACCTTCACATCTGCATCAGATCCACTGTGTTCATCAATAATGCTGTCAAGTTGAAAATATATAAAACTAAATATTAGACATATAAGCTGAATTCTAATGGTGTGGAGATAGTGGAACTTTCACCTATAAATCTCCAGTCATAAACATCAATTGATTACAGTTACATGAAACCGGAAACAATTATACGTAGCATACAACCGATGCATTTCGGCAGTTAGTAGAGAGTTTATTTTCCTAATTATACAGAATCATAAAAATAGTAAATAATTCAAAAAAAATTTTAATAAAGCCAACTGAATTCCCTCGACTAAGATGTAATGTTGTCGATCACTAGTGTCTAGGTAGCTCAACATCCCGTACACTAACCTAAGATGTTAAATAGTTTATGCGAAATCCATCTTTACCTAGGTTTTGTACTAGTTGGCATGTGTCAGTATTTCAGGCCTGCTATATTGCTGTTTGTAGAATTTGAATCCCTCAGTGTGCCAGTTTAGTATGTTACCACTGAGTTATTTTGGCTACGAATAACACTTTTTTTAAGAATGTGATCAATTCTAAATACTCATTAATGATAACTGCCAACTAGCACTAAACGTAGATTGAGCTGAGTTTTCTATCATCCATTTCGAACCATATAATAGTAAGTAGAATAAGGTTATTGTAATGTTTTCTAGAGTAAGAAATTGTTTTTTACAAAAAGCACACATGAACAAAAGAATGTTGAAAATACAGCTGCACAATACTATATTATTGATATAGTGAGCTAGTTAGAAGTAGCCGAATGAGAAGGTTAATTGATGGCAATCAGAAGTGACTTAAAGGACAAGTGAAATTCATTAGCTAATAAGCAGACTGATTTCCTAAAGGGTACAGATATATATATATATGCATTTCATTCGGTAGCTCAATATGCTTTCTCATCCGCTCTTGTATTCTCGCTCAAGTAATCCATTGGAGGGTTACTACGTAGCACATCGTATATCAATATCATATTTCAAACATCGCCCATCCCAACAGTTTCTAGCAACAGAGAATATTATTTTCACAAATTATTCGTACAACGGAACACAATATCATTATTATTTATTTAAACACATAAATATTGGTATAAGGAAGCACCAGATAAATATGCGCCTCACAAATCTTATTTGATATGTGTGAAAGCTGTGATACTGCTCAGGTGCCCAGACCAAAGCAGGTGGTTTTCTTAGAAGGCCATACACGGAGTCTTTGACCTAAAGGTCTAGTCCACAAGTCAGTGGAGGATCGTAAGAAGATGCAGTCCCATGGTAGCCAGTGATCAACGATTGGTTCATACGCCATTTGTTCCATCAGGATACTGGAGTCAGCCCATGTCCACCATTGGTTTGGAATCAGGGTTTTCCAACTCCCCTAGGTGGATCCTCCACATCCACCAACCCGGTTAAAGCGCCGGACATTCGCTTTTCATCCTCTCAATTTTGTAAACAACAACCCCGCCACGAGAAGGCAGTGAGTAGGACTTCCCTGTCAGAGGCTATATATTCGCGTGGCCATGTGAGAGCATTTGAAGAGGGAGAGCGGACTCTTTTCACTCTCGGCCGTACTGGGGCATTTGGGGGCTAGAAATGGCTAAAACGTTATCAGCATCACCATAGTAAGAAAAATCTCATAGTTAATTATGATGATGTGTTACCAAACTAACACAAACTCCTATATATATATATAACGATGAAGCAAACTTATAATGATTATGTAATAGCCCCCCCCCCAACATATCAACAACTAGTGTATTTAAGTTAATTAAGTCATTAGTAATGTTGTAATAAGTTTGGAGTAGTCTATGCTCCTCCACGATGGGTAACAGGCGTAATTAAGTAATAAGTTTAGATCATTATTTATTGATTTTTGAACTGAATGTTTTTTTTCTTTCTATCACCATTATTACTACCACCTTTCATAGTTGAAATCATGAATCCATTGAAGGTAGACCACCAAAGAAAACCAAAAAGCACTAAACGACTAATGCTTCCAGGTTTTCCATGGTGGTTTACCTTCAATGGATTCATGATTTCAACTATGAAAAAATATTGAAATCTCCACAGAAAAAAACAACCCTTCTGATTACTACCATCTTTAGTTTAAATTTTTATATTATTTCTTTCATTCTAGAATTTATTAAATATTACAATATCATTACAAGCATTTGGTTCATTGGCTATATTTGTTTGGATGTTTATTGAAGGTTTATATTTATGCCTTATTGTATATTATGCATTTTGGGTGGAAAAAATGAAATTTTGGCCATATGCATTATTAGGATGGGGTAAGTTAAATAATGATTTATAATACTATAGGGGGGGAGGGGGGAAGTAATTCATTTGTCTATCATAATTTTCAATAATTACTATATACTAGATATAGTTCATTTTAACTAAGTACGTTAAATCGGAATACAATGTACATCTCAGAACCAATTAGACGATTTGGATTTCGTAGATAACCTAAGCCCTCCTATCTCATACACACGAACAAATACAGATGAAGACAACTAATGTAGCAGCAGCCTCTACATCAATAAGCCTCAACATACACAAAAGAAAAAGCAAGATTCTCAAATACAACACGGAGAACACTAATCCAATCATACTTGATGGCGAAACTCTGGAAAATGTGGAAACATTCACGTACCTGGGAAGAATCATTGATTAACAAGGAGGATCTGATGCAGATGTAAAAGCGAGGATTGACAAAGCAAGGGAAGCATCTCTATAATTGAAGAACATGTGGAAATCAAAACAACTTTCAACTAATTTCAAAGTCAGAATCTTCAATACTAACGTCAAAACAATCAGTCCCACTGTACGGAGCTGAAACGTGGAGAACTACTACATCCATCATTGAGAAGGTACAAGTATTTATAAACAGTTGTCTACGCAAAATACTCAACACCCATTGGCCGGATACTATCAGCAACAGTGTTTTATGGGAGAGGACAAACCAGCTTCGAGCTGAGGAGAAAATTGGGAAAAGGAATTGGAAGTGGATCGGACATACATTGAGGAAATCACCAATGTGCATTACAAGACAGTCGCTAACTTGGAATGGTGAAGGGAAGCGTAAAAGAGTAAGTCCGAAGAACACATTACGACTGGAAATAGAAGCAGATATGGAAAGGATGAATAACAACTGGAAAGGATTGCCCAGGACAGGGTTGAATGCAAAATACTAGTGGGTGGCCTATGCTCCTCAACGAGGGGTAACAGGCATAAGTAAGTAAGTCCGTTAAATGTCATAACTTGCACTTCTCTTATTTATTAATTGACTGAATCACAAAATATAGCCTAGTAACTACAAGTATGCTTTATACTTATTAAATCAATGACCTTCACTCTAATAAATACAACAATTTGACCAATAATGATCTATAATGAAGTTTCCTCTCATTATAATAGCTAGTCAGAATTTAAACACGATATACCGATAAACCTACTATTATGACTTAAATTTGATATGATTATCTACATTCATCATCGAACCACAAAACACCATTGATAATAAAATATAGATTTGTATACAACTGACCCTGGAAACAGTACGAAAATAGAGTTATAGGGGATTAGTTAATTTATTAAAGATTCCCATTGTGAAAATTAGAACAACATATGTAAGCGAACAATATTGTTTTCAATTAGATCGTCATCAGGCTTTACTCTACATGAATATTTATATGAAAATCCTTTAGACCAATCAAGGCTATTTGAGTCAATATTAATCATAATGAAATGGAATATGTTACCAAGCATAATAATAGTTAAAAGTACAAGTTGAAGTGGGAAGACAGGTGTACTGATAGTAGTAGTAAGAATAGTAAATTACGATAACAAAAGTCTTATCAATAATTAAACATTGAGAATTAAGAGGTCAAACGTGGGTAAATAGACTTACCATGGTGACCATAAAACATTAAAATCATTACGTAATAAGAAATATGTAAGTAAATAGATAGTGAAGAATACAAACGGAAAGAGGTAGAAAATTACAAACAAACAAAAATGATAACCAAAATAAAATTTTTACAAATAATAATAATGTCATTGGTGAACGGTCGATCAAAATCGTGGATTGGTTGAAGTTAGACATTAACACCTCTGGATGCCGGCCGGCTCAGTGGTCTATCGGTTAAGGGCTTCGGCTCGAGACTAGTAGGTCCTGGGTTCGAATCGTGGATGCGCACTGCTGAGGAGTACCATAATAGGACGAGTTGGCCGTCCAGTGTTTCCAGGTTTTCCATGGTGGTCTAGCTTCAATTGACTCATGATTTCAACTGTGAAAATAATAATGCCATTTATTAAATTATGTCCGGCCATGGAAGGGATAGGGTGATTACGAATTTCTTCTGTACACATAAATTGGGATGGAATGTACGAATTCCTATGGCTTCTGCTATATGAAGTAGACGGGAGCGAACTCTGTTGGGAAATGATGGAAGTATACGATAGATCACTTGAAATGATTTAAATTTATCAACAATATGACCACTATCAATTAGATGTGCCAAGATAGAACTGCGTATTGTTTTTATTTAGCCCTTTACAAACCATGTTGGTAGATGTTCATTCATTCATTGGTTAAGTTGCCTTGTAGTACGTCTGATATAGCTATCTCCACAGGAGCAGCTGAACTTATAAATGAACATGGAGGAGGCCAACTCAGGTAACTTATCCTTCGTTTGAGTAGACATCACTAGTCGACTCGAGAAAGTCAATGCGAGATAGGCTGCGTAGAAAGTTCTACTAATTACTTTTGTTAACCTATCTTTCAGAGTTTCACTAGCTACATCCCCGTTGAATTGTAATTTCATGTATAAAGGCTTCTTACGAACAGTTGAAATCTCCGATTTCTTCCTTGTATCATACATGTACTTTTTGATGAACGCAGCAGGGTAGCCGATCTCAGTCAGTGAGTTACAGATAAATTGCAGTTCCTGACTTAAAGTATCAACAGAACAGATCTTATTTGCTCTACTAGTGAGGCATCTAACCAAGTTTCTCTTATATTGGATAGGTGTAAAGCTATAGAAGTGAGTGTATTGGCAGGCAGAGGGTCTTTTTGTATACACGCTTCTACTTAACGAGCCATCACTTCGCCTGCTTAGTGTAACGTCAAGGAAATTCAGCTTCATGTCACACTCGCCTTCACCAGTGAAGCTAATCGCTGGATGTACACTGTTGAACTGTTCTAGTAGTTCATCCTAACTGGTGTTCTGACCCACGACAATGAATGTATCGTCGATGTAGCGGCAGTATAGATCGAGCTTCTTAATAGCTTCCTTAAGTGGGCCATTTTCTAGCTTAGCTAAGAAGAGATCAGCGAGATTCGGACCTAGAGGTGAGCCCATGGCTATTCCGTCTATTTGTCTATAATAGGAATTGTTGAAGACAAAATGAACATTCATTGTGCATCTTAAAAGCAGTTCTTTCAGACAATCTTCTGGCAGGCCAATGTTGATTTGTTTTTCAGTTATTTGCTCGCATATGAACTCAATAGTCTCCATAAGTGGTACGTTAGTAAATAAGGATACTACATCTAGTGAGAACATATTTTTCATACTAACATTCATATTTTCCACTTTGGAAGTGAAGTCTAATACATCTTTTACACTCGTACTAACAATTGATTTGTGCAAGGGCTCTAAGATACGTACTAGCCACTTTGCAATTTTGTGATAAGGGGAATTGAACATATCTAGGACTGGGCGCAGTGGAAGACCTGGTTTATGAACTTTGGGTAAACCATACAGTCGTGGTGTGTAAGATCCAGACGGTTTGATAGAATCAAGAATCTCTTTTGTAATTATTCCCTTATTCTTTAAATCCTTAAGAGAGTTAGTCAATTGGTTTTCCACTTTTTTATTGATATCGGAATGACTGGTGGCTTTTTGAAATTTGCTGGGATCATTAAGCATTGTTTCCATCTTTTCAACGTAGTCCTTTTTTATTCATCAGCACTATGCCTCCTCCTTTATCAGGTTTGCTTATAATCAAGGTTTCCTCCTTTCTTAGTTTAGTTAAAGAGTCTCGGTGCTGCTTGGTAAGTAGGCGGTTTGTAGTACTCTTACTATTCTTATATTGTTGGCTACTGTCAACTAAAGTGGTCTTAAACCTGACTACATCCTCTAATGAGGTAGGAATCAAGTCACTTGTTTGTGAAAATAGATTCTCAAACTGTACATCAATATCTAATTGGTTGACTTTATGTCTACTATCACAGAACTTAGGCCCCAAAGATAATGCTTCTAGCTGAATTGCATCTAGTTCGATTAGTTAATGAACAATAATTCCAGAACAATAAGATACATACTGACAGTTAGTCAGTTCGATAAAAGCTTATAAATAGGATAGCATGAAAATATCATAAACCAGTAATTTAATTAGTTATACCATCAAAATCAATATTATTATGCCTTTGATCTGTTTACCTACTCGTCTATGCTTAATATGCAAGGAGGAAGCTATCTCAAACTAGTTTATGATCATGAAATACCAGATTACTTGATATAGCCTTGAAACTTGGTACGTCTGAGTGCGATTTATAACTGGACGATCCTTATGATAGAGAGAGTAAAACTATTGTACCAATGATCTATAACCTGATAGGTCGTCAAGCAGAAAGAGAGAGTATGATTTAATTGGAAATACTGCCCGGTTTATACTTAATTCAGACTAATTCAAAAAGGAGACTGAATTAAATTGATGACTAACAAGACCACAACACACAAACAATGAGAAATATATAATTACAACCAAAATGGGACATAAAAGTAAGATAAAAAAGAGGATTACAGGGATCTCGTTCAAACCAAAGTAATTTTGGAACAGTAAAGAATATGACACCAACTTATATATTAGACGAAAGCTTACGTACTTAATTACTTACTTATGACTGCTACGCCTGGCTGAGGAGTATAGGCCAACCCCCCCTCAGTATTCTCCATTCAACTCTGTCCTTGGCAATCCTTTCCAGTTCTTTCCATTAGTTATTCATCCTTTTCATATCTGTTAACCAGAAACGAAAGCTTACGATGCATAAAATAAAGCAGACATAAAACTATTATTTCTTCCTTCTTCTTCATTATAGACCTGTTGCTGGAAATAACACTCTCGTCGACTGAATTTTCAGGAATTGATCTTCTAACAGAAGGTTCACTTATCGACTTAGAATACGCAGATGACATAGTCCTGTTTAGTGAAGACACTGACAAAATGCAGAGTCTTCTGTTAGAACTGAGTAATAATGCCAGGATGTTTGGGATGCGTTTCTCCC